GCTAATTATATGGACAAAAATGAAAAGAAATTAGTGCAGTTATATAAAAGAAAAAACAGAAAAAAAAGAGAAAAGAAAAACTTTCTTCCAGAACAAAAAAAAAAGAAGCAGAGCTACTTTTAATATTAGTTATTTGCTGTTATTACTGAACAAATTTTAATTGATTTTGGTTTCTACCGTATCACTATAAATTGTTGTTTATCGGATGACGAAACGAGTAATTCATTTTTTTTTTTCATAATTTTCATAGCTCAGTGGGTAGCCTAACCACTTAAAGAAATCTTTTTATTTATTTTTTATGTATTTGTATGTGTACATCTGTATAATTTTTATGAATTTTTTCCTCTTTTAATAACCCAATAAAATGTTTACAATTTTTTTTTGTTGTTGTTGTTACGGGATTGGACAAATTGAAAAGAGGGTTGAAAGATTTTTCGTTGATTATCAGCTACAGTTCAATAGGATTATCAGTACAGATTTAAACTGTGATAGGTTGTGGCAATTGTAATGCAAAAAAAAAAAAAAAAACTGATCACAAGGATAGTAAATATTTATACACGATATCAGCAAAATCCAATAAAATTGATATGAACAATGATTGGGATGTTTGTTGCTTTTTTGATAAGCCACTAAACAATCCGTTGTATAAGAGGCATATTTACTCATTTTCCCGTATCGACTGCGATAAAACTGATTGATCATTTTTGGAACTTCCAGAACTGCTTGTCGATTTGTCAAGACTTGTGCTTCCGTTACATAGCGGACCTTGACATGTCGAATATAATGACGGCAAATGTCGTGAACGTGGGCTAGAAGAAAGAAAAAAAATATAAAGAATTCAAGCACTGGTCATTCATTCAGTCAGTTCAAAAGTTTAAAGAATTTGTCATCATAGTTTCAATTTTTTTTTCTTTTTTGCTGAATCAGTTCCGTCATTCAGTCATCATAATTTTTTGACAAGTACAGGATGAAAAAAACTCCTCTTTTCCAATTTTCTTTTTTTTTTTCTATCTTAGTTCTATCTATATTTAATAAATTTTCAAATTGCAATAAGAACTCTTTTTTATTATTAGATATAAGTTCCACTTCAAAAGCAAAAGCGAAAAAATAAGCGAGAAATTGGTGAAAAAAAAGCCCTTAGACTTAAATCTTCGGTGAAAAGGACAAATTCCCAGAAGAAATAAGATATCTTAATATTGTTGATAAAAACAAAAAAAAAACTCTCAATACTAATAGATAAAATTTTTTTTGAAAGAAAAATTTAGACATTACAATAATGACATAAAAATAGCTTAAAGTAAAATCAAAAATAGAAAAGGCTTAAACATAGACTGAGCTATTTTACCTGTTTGGATTATAATGATATTTTTGAACAATAACATTCGGTTTCCCACCCGGATAGGTTACAGAGATACTGCGTACCAGACCCGGCTTCAGAGGTCTTTCGGAGCGTATCTGAGTGCCCGAAATCGACGACACCCGCATCAGATGTACAGAAGGCTTCGAAATTATGCGATCGTTGTGTGTACAAGTTGTATCGGTAAAACAACAACTACCAGCTCGAGCCTAAACACCATTATTCATCAGATCACTGAACTACCTCTGAAGATGTTTTTAACTACACAAAGCAGCAAACAGTAATACCATAACGACTGTTATAAACCTTATAAAAATTACATCTACAAAACAGATACAGACAGTTATGTTAAGAAAAGAAAAACTTGTTGATTCTAAACTATAGAAAAAACTATTAAATTTAAAAAGTTTAATCAAACTAAATAGAAAAAAAAAAGGAAGGAGAATTACCTGTGTTACCAATTCAGATATATTTTCTGTTCTTTCCCGTAACGCGTCGGTCAATTCCCGTATTTTACTACCCTATAAAATGTATTTTAGAAGAAAATTAAAAATTGACCAGAAATTAATTCGAATGATTCGTATACATGTACAAAAAGTTGTACTTTTGTTTTCCAAGAAAAACGAAAAATTTTTTTATAATAAGTTACATCGCAAAAATACTTTTGTTTTTCAATTTTTGCAAGCGATAAAAATATAAGCAATAAAATAGAAGTGACAAAAAATAAAATATAAACTCTTCTTTACCTGATAAGCTAATTGATTTTTAAAAATTTCAAGTGCTCGTATCAGCTGCTGTTCGGCTAAATATGCATTTTTTGCACTTTCTTCAAGTTTTACTGCCAACTCCCGATTACTTCGTTCAGATTCTCGAAGCCTAAACTGCTTCAGCTGTTACAAAATGAAAGTACAGGCTTATAAGCTCAAGTAGTCTTAAATAGCTGCACAAATAATGCTGATGCTGATAATGCTGATATAAAGAAAAAACGCCGAAAAAAAATTAAAAAATATCATACTCTTTTCTATTTATTTCCCATTTCTTTTTTACTATCATTTGATTTCAGCTACAAAAAAAAGCAACCTCCCGCCTGCAGTTAACAACGTCAGTAACAGATGATAATTACATCGATTAGTCTATGTACGACCACCAGAAAAACCAAGCCAAAAATGATGATGTCGATGATGGTGATGATGACAAACTATCATTTGTTAACTTCCAACAGAAGCTTTATAAACATTCAACAAAAAATGAGAAGAAAGAGGTAAGAAACTACTAAAGTTTCATCAAAAAATTATTTTTCAGTTATTCATAGGGCAACAAAATTATGTCATATATTTTTTTTCTCACTAAATATCAACAACTGTGCGAAACTATCTACCAAAGA